GCACTCCGTGCCGTGCCACTACCTCGCGCACATAAATATCGGCTAACTTTTCGGCCGATGTGCTCTCCTGAATCGGTATGAAATGCGCGCTCTTGGTCAGCCGATCCACTATGACCCAAATCGAATCAACTCCACGTGCGGTCATGGGAAGCTTAGTGATGAAATCCATAGTGATATCCTCCCATTTCCACACAGGAATGTCTAACGGCTGCATCTTGTCGTGGGTGACCCACCACCTTGAGTGTGCTGCCATGGGGTGGGGTGTGCAGCCGCACACCCATGTGTACGGCCGTACACTCCTCCTAAGAGAGTGTATGGCCCGATTTTGCTACTTTGTGACTTGGCAACTCATCCCTAACCTCAACCTTGGTTGTACTTAAGCTTAGAACACTTGAACGAACCCTTAAACAACGCTAAGAGGCTACAGAAACGAGTTTATCATTGATTGAAGTGACTAGATGTTCAAGATAGAAGTTCCAGGTTGTCACACACAGTCAAGATGGGTGATGATTGGTTGAGCAGTATCAAGGGTAGTGGCACGGTGCAGATCAATATGCACGACGTCATGGTCAGGAAGTTAGATTGTTGATACGCTCCAGAACATTGGAAGAATTTAATTTCTCTTGGCACATTGGCTAATATTGGGATGAGGTACGTTAATGAAGGTGATTGGGTAAAAGTCACAAAAGGTTCTCTAGTTGTAATGAAAGGGAAGATGAATCATGGAGGGATTTATATCCTAGAAGGCAGTACGGTTATGCGAATGGTGGTTATCTCAAGATCCTTGAATGAAGGTGATGACAAGACAAAGTTGTGGCATCGTAAGTTGGGGCATATGAGAGAGATGGGCTTGTCAGTTCTAAGTAAACAAGGACTGCTTGGTGGAGAAACTACTGGAAATCATGAAATATGTCCACTCAGATATGTGGGACCCTGCACCAATGAAGTGGATGTGCCATTTTGGAGTGGATGTGTTGATATTCCAACCTTAGAGAGGATGTGTCATCCCTTGATCAAGATGTGTCATCCTTATGCCTGATGCGCCATCTTGATGCAAGGATGTGCCAATTGGTTCCTTGATATGCCGAGGTATCCCTTGATGATCTGTATGCTATGAAGTCCCTTATGACACTCAAAATTGTTCAAGGAAGCTCACAATTTGAAGAGTGTAACACCTCGATTTCCGGGTTTTTTTCCATTTCTACCCTTATTATGTAATTTGTTTGCAAAATTGGTCCCTTGGTCACTTATATGACAAACACGTGGTTCTCGCGTACGGTGGGTATACTCTTTTGTACGATGGGCATACATGGCAGCGATGCAACCCCTAATTTTTAGGGTTTGAGCATTATTTAAGCATCATTAACTCCCCAAGACTCCTTCCCTCATCAACCTCCATTCTCACTCCGTACCTTACAAACCCTAACCCATTTTGTGAGCATCTTGGAGCCTTAGTGTGTATTTTGGTGTTCTTGAAGGAGGGAGAAAGAAGTGGATTCACCTTGGGAGCTCAAGATCATTTAGATCTAGAAATATCTCACCCTAAGCATCCTTTGGAGGTATAAAGTTCATATCTTGATGAGTTATTTGCTTAGATCTTATTAGCCTTGATTCTGTATTCTTTTTTATCCCAAATGCTTGGTGTTCATAAGTATGGACTACTCAAACCAGAAGAGTTGTCCTTTCAAATGTTTTTAGGTGTTAGGAACCATAAAAATGCGATCTTGGTCCTTATATCCCTTCCATGCAAGAGTTATGATGTCTTAATGGATTAATAAGTTAGGGTTTTAGCTTTTGGACCTTTTCTAGCCTTAGAAAGTCATAAAGGTGGAAACTTTATGACTTTAGTCGATGTTTTGGGTCTAGATCTGAGTTTGGATGGGAAGTCCTTAAGGATTAAGCACTTAATGAGAAGATGTGGTTCCAAACGTAGTACGTTGGTTGTACCAAGAGGTACGATGCGCGTACCAGGTTAAGGTCCCGTGTTTTGGTCAAGGACGAGCTACGTTGGGCGTAGTTGTTGAGTACGCTTAGCGTACTCAGTCAGTTTGACCTTCATTTGACTTTTTGACTTGTTGACTTTTACCTTTGAAAAAGTTTGACTTAAGAGCATTTTGGGTATTTTGAATTGTGGTTTGAGATTTGGTCACTATTTGTTGTATAGGTGACATGTAGAGTTGGTATTCGGAGCAGTGTGTTGTTCAGCTATTTTGTTAGACTATGAGGTGAGTTTTCATCACTGTAATGGTGGGTCAAAGGCACCAATGCCGGCCCACTAGGTTATGTATCCTGGAATATATGATGTTTCTATGTTATATTAATCTGCTAGATCTATATGATTATCTTTTTGCTGGTTATATGTTTGGTTATATGTTTATCTGTTGCATATGTCGACATAGTGTGGTACTGTGGTTGGGCTGAGGTTGTAGTGCTTTGTGTTGTAATCCAACAAACCCGGGGCAATCCAACCGGGAGGTTGTGGGTCAGGGTAATCCAATCGGGAGGTTGTGGACCCAGTATGCAATATGTGTCGCAATCCAACAGAGAGGTTGTGGGCCAGGGTAATCTGACTAGGAGGTTGTGGACCCAGCATGCAATATGTATATTTTTTTGGTTGTGCGTGGTACTTTGGGGGAACTCACTAAACTTTGGCTTATTGTTTATGTGTTATGTTTCAGGTACTTCAGATGATCGGGGCAAAGCAAAGGCGTGATCGTGCACATCCTCCAGTTTTTATGAGATTTGATTTTGGGATACTCTGATTTGTGTTTTTGACTTTTGGAAACTAAGTTTTGTAAACATCTATGGTTTATGGGTTGATTTTGAAAATAAAAAATTTTATCTTGATATTTGGGATGTTACAAAGATGCTCAAGGATTATTGCTTGATGTGACACCATGATAGTTGATATGACATGATGATCTTGATATGCCACTCTTGCATCATGATGTGCCACTATGGATCATGATACTCCATCATGTGTGTTGATGATGCTCATGCAAGGATGAATGTTATGGAAGTTGTTGCATGGCGGATTGTGATTGGTTGACACCATTCATGGGCCTATGGGCCAATAGGCTTGGCCCATTAGGGTTTTAGGTCTAATCTCTCAAGTATAAATAGGGATGCATGTTGAGTCATTTTGTATCTTGAATTCTAGAGTGTTGTGTGAATCTCTGTGAAAATTGTACTTGTAATCTTTGTTTGAGAACTCTAAATAAAGAATACTCCACTTCCTGTCCGTAGACGTAGGTCACCTTAACCGAACCACGTAAATATTATGTCTTTGTGTGCTTTTAGTTTTGCTAGTTATCCGTTTTACTTCCTAAAAATCACCAACACATACATATTTACAAAGTCTAAACCCTAAACCCGCTAACTATACACATAATAAGCGAGCTTGAATAAGATATTTCAACTTTTTTTATTACCCGATCGACACGGCACACATGAAAATTAAACAATAAAGGTTAGTGCCATGTTTTTTCAAGACTTAGAACTCGACATAAGTCTAATAAAAGGCTTGACAAAACATATTATTTCTTGTATTTAACGTAAGGGTTGGTATTTCTTTATTTTTTTTACAAATATCAGTACTATAGAAAAAGAATTCTATTAGAAAGTAAGCATCTGATTTTTTTCTTCATAAAATAAAACAACATTAATAAGAGGTAGTTGTGCGAACTTGGAATGCAATTAACAAAAGGGGATATCTCTATTTCTCAAGTAGGTTCCATTTGTGTTTTTTCAAAAAAGAAAAGTTTGGTGGATGTGATTGTGTGTAATAGCATTTGGTATATTTAGAAATTTAGAAATGATAAATTTCCCAAATTTTTAGGTGGTAACACGAAACAAAGTGATATTATTGATAGGTTTAATTAGGGGTGAGCATAATAATCGAAAAACCGAACCAAAATCAAATTAACCGATATAACCGAACCATTTTAAAAACTGTTGGTTCGGTTTCTAATTTTTGTTAACCGATAACTAACGGTTCGGTTATGGTTTTATAGGTTAACCGAACCATTATTAACCGAACCGCTAACTTTATATTTTAATATATAAAAATTATAGATTATATATAATATAATATAGTCAAACTTATTTAAGATCCATTAAAATATTAAAAATATAATTCATTGATCCTCACTTATTAGGAGACGAACGAGTAATCAAACCATCAAAAGCTGATCACGCAGACATACACAATCTTCCAATCATGCATTGAATTAGATTATTGATTAATGTTGTAATTCCTAATCGGCTAATTCTACAATTTGTAAACATTATTCACAATTAGTTTAATCTTCACACTCATAATCGTAATCGAATGCTTCTCACACGGTTAATCCTAATCAAAGATTGTTTTCACTTTATAGTCCTATTCGAAGGAGTTTTTGACTTTATGATCAAGTCTTCTAGGTAAGTTAAGTTTTTGGTTCTTCTTGACTCTGTGATATATTAAGAATGTAGTTTTTTGAATTTTTTGGCTTTTTTTATTTACTATTTTTGACTTAATCACATTGAATGCATATGAGTGATTGTCTTTTTTTTTATCCAATAACACATAATATGAATGTTTGGCTCTTTTATTTTATAGTTTTTTGATTTAATCGTATTGAACGTGTATGAATGTTTGACTTTATTTTAATATTAATATCAATTATCAATATATGAAATTATTAATGTCAATTTTTTAATGTTTTATATTTTTATTGAATGTTTTTTATTTTGAATGTGACTGTGTTATCTCACTATAAGTATTAAAGGTACACATTTTATTCTATTACTATAAGCTAGGTTACAAACATTGGCATCAGGGACTTTTTGGTATTCTATTTTCATTTTTTAAGCCAATATACTTTGGTCATTTATAATATTTTGAACATTTTTGTTAACTATTATTAATCATTAACCAAAACCGTTAACCGATAAAAACCATTAATCATAACTAATATTAACCATACCCAATGACTACCAAAATACATTAACCAATCATAATGGTATTGGTTCGGTTTTAACCAATAACCGAACCAAACCGGTCCATACACACCCCTAGGTTTAATTGGGTAAAAACTCACTAAACTCTTTGTAATCTTGGATATAGCTTTTTGCTAGTTGGTTTTTTTCCTTTTTATCCTGCTTCTAAAAAAATAATCATTGAAAATAAAGGTTTTTTTATAGAAAAAAAAAGTATATATGGTATTTTTCAAAAACAGTATTATTTCACTATTTTGTATGAAAAAACCTTCAGCTGTTTACCAATCGGCTCGGCGTTTCTTTCATTCACTTCTCAGCCAGGACAGCAGGCAGCAGCGCATCACTTGGGCAATTCAGCTTCGCTTTCGCCTTTCATCCCCTCGATATCGATTGCACCTTCCTGAACGCCTGTTATATTCTGGTATCTTTCACCTAGTAGAAATTCATATTGTCCGTGTCTCACATAATCCGAATTTTTAGTCATAGATGGATGTTATGTTTTGTTTTTAATTTAGTATTTTCTATTCATTTTCAAGTCCGAAATTGAAATACACATATACTTAAATGTGTAATTGTAAGTTTAATACTTGATCAATTTTCAGTATGCAGGCAAGGTGTTTGATAAAATGTCTCAAATGATTCACATTCATGAAATTGTTTTACACATTGTTAATTTTCAATCAACAGCGTGTAAAATCTGATATTGATGCCAACAATAAACTTGTTGGAGATTTGGATTACAATAAAGAACGTGCTCAAATTTTGATAAGCTACCTTTTCAAATCATGCATAAATTGTACAAAAGCTATATTTAACATTGATGCCTAGTATTTTTTATATTCTACAGATAACCATTTTGTGGCAAACTTACACAATGGCAAAGAGACTTCTTGGATCCCAGCTATTCGTGAGCAGTAATCTCTCCTCCATTTTCCAGACACTATTTTTCCCCTTTTCTCTTTGAGTAAATTAAAGATTATGTTATTGATATGTAGGATTGTCATTTTACACTACACATAAGGACTTGAAGAGGTTGTTTTCACCTTTTGGTGCAATCACTGAAGGTAAATGTTAATTTTAGTTATTCTTTTTGGTAATTCAAAGTCATTTTTATATAAAGATTGTTTGAATTTTATTGAATCAATGTTGCAGCTAGACTTGTTTTGGATTCAAGAACTCAGAGGCCTAAAGGGTTCGGTTTTGTTACATTTGAATCAGATGTTGATGCCCAAAATGCAATGAAAGCCATGAATGGGAAGGTAATTTGACTATTTTGATTCTATCTTTAAAGGTGACACTTCATCAGTATTTCCATCTTTCTTGTTTTAGATGGCCAATTTCACTATATATTTTCTAAAATATCAATTGAAGAAACATGCAAAATAGATTTGAAATTGTGGTAATACAATTGGGTTCTTGAACTAAGTTTTTCATACTTAATGTGCAGATTGTGAATGGTGGATTGATTTTTGTTGAGGTTGCCAAGACTCAAACGCCCCAAGATGATAATGACACTCTTAGATAATTATTATACAAATGATTATGTGAAATGTTACTTCTGATGATCATTGTTGTTCTATAATTACCAGTTGTATACCTGTTATAATCTGAATTTTAGTAAATCTGAAAGATATGTATATTTGTTCCATTTTCTGTTTGTTTAAGGTATTCGGTTTTATATAGACTCGTTTGATCAAAAGCATTACCCTTTCGAATTAAAATAAATGATGTTATAGTTATATGGGTCGGTTTCTTGGGTAAAGATAAAATATAATTAATTCAAGTCAAATTTGTTATGCAGGTTTTATAGATACAAAATGATGGTGAATCAATTTGAAAATGTTATATGGGTTTTTTCAATACAAAATGATGAAGCAATAAAATGGTCAAATTTTGTTCGTTTGGGTTTCGTCTGTACAATATGATTTGTTATTGGGAAAGATTATAAACTTTAAACTTATAAAAAAAAAAAAATCATTATATAATTTTTTAACCAAATAATTCAAATCATAATAAGTCCCCTACATGTACCAATTAAATCATCCATACATTGCATACTAAAAGCATGAAACTTGCATAAAATTAAAGGGAATAGAGAGGAATAGAAAGGGATTGCAAAGGAATCACTATCAACTGACTTTTTTACCCCTCAAAGTGTCAGCATAGAAGGCCAAGGGTAAAAAGGAGTCTTCTGTTTCTTTTCCTTTAAAATCCGTGCAAATGTGAGCGGATACACTTTGTGCTTATTTCTTTCTTCCTTAACATGTGTGTTTCTTTCCTAATCCCTTCCCCCTCAACAAAAAACTTGAGAACAAAGTGTTCAAGACTTACTTGTAAACCTAGAAGAATAAACCCTTCCATGTAAAACAAAACATTGCACAGCAACTTCACCTGAAGACATGGTGAAATTTTCATTTGATTTCGACAAAAGTATCTTGTATTAAGAATATTCGACTAATTTAGTTAACAAATATTCATGAAAGGAAGAAAGCAGTTCCTTTTGGTTGATGTTGAGACTATTGGTAGTTCATATTAACTATAATATCATAATAACCACACTCAATATTTAATAAGTTAACATACACCACAAAAAATCCAAATAATGAGACATATGCAACACATATCGCAAAGAACACTACAACCAGTCATGGTATAAATAGGATATAAACCAACTGTAACAACAAAATAAACATCATAAATTACGTCAAATAAAGGAACATGGAACAATTATCCAAAAAGTGCATTTAATGATTTGTGAGAATGAGTAGAAGAGCCTGGACGTCTGTTTACTTGATTCAGCTCATTAAAGTTATTGATGTTTATATAATTTATGTGACTTTGACAAATTTGTGTTATACATTAATGAAAGAAAGAAAAAGCTTAACGGAAATAAACAAAGAAACATAAAACTAGAAACAAGTGGTTTCTTCCATTGATAAACAGAGAGGTGGTAACATACGATCGATAGTCTAAACAAACGCAATGGTTAGAACACTAAACTCCATATGTAATTTAACGACAAATACACACAGATGAACAACAACCAAACTACGGTAGCCTATTCAGCTTTCTTTGGAGTTTTGGCTGCTTTCTTTGGTGACTTTGCAGCCTTCGATGGAGATTTAGGCTCTGTTGTAGCAGACTTCTTGGGCAATAGAACAGCGTGGATGTTGGGAAGAACGCCACCATGAGCAATGGTAACTCCGCCCAACAGTTTTCCAAGTTCATCGTCGTTCCTGATGGCCAGAAGGACGTGCCTTGGGATGATTCTGGTCTTCTTGTTGTCCCTTGCAGCATTTCCAGCCAGCTCCAACACCTATAATAGAACAAGGAACATGATTAGATATGGAAGGTATGATCTATAGCATTGAACAGGAGATTTCAATTGAGAGCCAGATTTTAGATATAATGTTATAGAACTGGGTCTAATTCCTTAAATCAATCAAACGATAACTCTACTTTTCATTTTTATTGCTATGCAACATTATTTCTGAAAATAAATATAGACCCCCAATTTGCAATTTTGAACATTGAAACCCTAAAATCATTTTTGTTTCCTTGAAGTGATCGAATCTATAATTAACTACATGAATGAATTGATAGAGATAATAAAGAAGCAAACTTACTTCAGCGGCAAGGTATTCAAGAACAGCGGCGAGGTAGACCGGAGCACCGGTTCCAACACGTTTAGCATAGCGTCCGACCTTAAGGTAACGCCCAATTCTACCAACGGGAAACTGGAGACCAGCTTTGACGGATCGAGTAACCGACTTCTTCCTTGGGCCACCGCCCTTCCTTCCTCCGGCACCCTTCTTCGCTTTTCCGGTGGTTTCCATTTCTCTTTTTGGCTTAGAAGACAAGTGATTTATGGGTATGAAAACAAGTGAATGATGATAACATTCGCCACCGATGAGTTGTTTATATAGCGAGGATTATTTGGGGAGGATCAGGACCGCGAACTGGGCTTGTTTTTGGCCGCTGGATTGGTATTTAATCTAACGGTCTTCGTTTATTCATCGCCGATCCGTGTGAAGTGGATCCACCAATTAAAATGATCCGATGAATTTTGAATTTGGGCTTACTTTTTGAGATTATTATCGGTTTCCCGCCTTGTAGGTTTTCGTTTTCATGGTTTTTAAAGAAAAATTTTGAATCCTCATGCTGTCACAGCAACCGTCCTTGGGCCAAGTTTATATTGGATTCATTTCATTAATATGAATCCGCAAACACATTCATTTCATTAATACTTACAAATATTGAACATATAGATAAAAACACATTGTTTAGAACATTAAAAACATTACATTATTAAAAAAAAATAGAACATGACTATATGAATCCCTACATGAGCTTCCATATAACTCATACGGCAATCTTTCATACAGACATGAGACATTGATTAGAATCAATCTTATTGTCCAAATTTTCTTCATCGGTTTCTTGATTTGTGATGACGACATAAGACTTCAAATTGAATACATCAATCGAGTCCTGTCTGGGCCCAACATCACTCGAATTAGATGCCGACTCCCCACGGCTTACCACCAAATGTTGACACCTGGCCCCATTACGCCCATCGTAATTTGGAGTATGCCCGGCATACTGTCTTCCTGGCAGCCTATAAATATAACACATATTTCATCCATTTCTTCACACATCTTCATTCCAATCTCTCTCAAACCCTCAAGGTCCCTAGGCCTTGTTCTAGTACTTCCTAAGGGTTGGTAGTGAAACTTCGGAGCGTCAGAAATCCCCAAGAAATAGAGCTTTCGATTTAGAAGTTCTACCCGCGCATAGTCCGGTTTCTCGCTAAACCACATGTAAGTTGAGTTATGCTTACTGTGCATTTAGTATAACTCATGTTCAAGTTCATTATCGTTATTATGAACCTATAACAAGATTTATCAGTGATTCCAAATCGTTATATTGATTGATATACTTACAAGGATGATGACAATGCTAGATTTAGTGAGGTGTTTAAAGTGGGTTTTCTAAACAGTATACTTTGTATACCAAACGGACCTACCTCTGATATGATATTAAATGGTTGTCCCTCGTCAACTATAGATCAGTAGACTTTGAATTAGTGATTAATCTAGACTAATATTTAGTCGAAATAAATATTAGACTAAGACTTAGTGATAATGATACTAGGTTACGTCAAAGAAAAAAGACAATTGCTATAAGCGAAGTGTTGTCTGAGTTTCAAGTCATCACTTTAACAAATGAGTGCATAGTTACTTTCATTTTACATAAAGTACTTAAGATAATTACATGCTATATGTTCCTATTATATGTGTTCCTGATATCTATGCTAGATGAACGATTGATGCATGTTTTACTTGATTTAAATTGTATATGTATTTTTATACCTATAAATATATTGGGTAAAGATGGGTAAATGAAAGATGATATAGATGATGAGAGATTAAATATGAAATAGATGATGAGAGGCCTTGATTTTAAAGATGGTGTCATCTAGCAGAGTATAGATGACAACCACAAACTATTATAGACAGTCCAGTGGAACGCTAGTAGGCTCACAACCTGTAGGTGTTTATGAACCATGTGTTCATCAGATGTACTCTAAAAACTCATTAACATGCATTGTGGGTGGACTCCCTAAGACAATACTGTCAATAAAGAATATGATCCCTATGGTAAATCCTTAGGAATAAAAATAAAAGTAAACCTACTGACAAGTATCATGGAGGAATCCTTGAACTAGTACTGTAGGCATAGATGATCCTCAGTGCAGATCCTTAATAATAAAAAAGATAATGTGGATGGAAAATTGTGTTAATTGTTTGATGATTAAACATATTAATTATATTATCATGGGTTGAAAACCCTATGTACTCACCAAGTTTCCCAACCTAACTCACTCAGTTTATTGTATCATAGGTAGCGACATGAAAGATGCATTATGTTGTGAGATTCGAAGAGTATTAAGCCACTAGTTTAATTACTATAAGGTTTGTAATATTTTGTTATGTTTATGTTTATGTATTGACGATGACATCCTAATGGTTTGATATAAATAAAATACATTTCTTCGGAAATGTTTTGATAATATCTTTATCATATTTTTTGGCAACAAGTTTTGCAAAATTATTCTTCAAAAAAGACACTCTGATTTTAAATAAACATAAAAAATTGGTCTTTTATGGCCATAAAATCAAGGATGTCACATGTTGTGTTGTATGTGATATTTTGGGGGAACTCACTATGCTTTGGCTTACAGTTGTGGATTAAATGTTTTTCAGGTACCATTGGTGATCGTGGGAAGGCAAATACGTGACTGTACACATTCATCAACAGCTATGGAGATACTGCGTCTATTATTTTACTGTGATTTTTAACAAATGTATTTTTGGAACACATGATTTTCTTAACTTGGATTTTATAAACGCGATGTTTTACCTTAATTAAAAATGAAAAATTTTTGTTGTGAAAATGCAAGGCCGGCCCAAACGTATATGGGGCCTGGGCGAAAAGAAAAAAAAGGTCCCTCAAAGACAAATATAATAAAGATTAAAAAAAAACATATCATTTATTATTCACTGTAGATATGTTCAATTAGCAATAACAAACAAGCCAGATTGTTTATCTTTTGAGCTAATTTTAGTTTAAACCAACTTTAGGGCTTAAAAATCA